GCAGACGACCGGTTTCTGATTATAAATCAGCCTTAAGCATGACTGAAATGTTGAGTGGAAGGAAGAAATACAAAAGTTGAAAAGCTCTTATTTTGTAGAGAAGCTGTATTTTGGAGGTTCATAACCTCAGTTTAGTATTCACGAAAGTGTTGTAATCCACAATCATACGTATTGACATTGGTGGGAGTGGTGGGCTAGTGGTTGGGTCATAGAGCTTGGAATCCTGAGGTTCTGAGTTCGAGCCCCACTCCCACAGACTGCCACTCTGTGGTGGTCCCCGGGCGCAGCACGATAGCAGCCCACTGCTCCCCAAGGAGATGGTTTAAATGCAGAGGTACATTTTCTCCAATGTCAGTAAAGTTCCATTAAAATTAAATTAAATGGTATGTAATAACTCTTTAAATGGATTAACTTTTTTGGTTGAATTTCTCAAATTTGGTTTACATCATTTGCATATGTTGTTTTTATTTCATTTTTTTTTTTTTTTTGCTCTCTAAGATAACCTTAACTTAAATGAAATCTAATGTTTGGCGTTATTTTTTTTTTAGGTTGCTCTTGCACAGCACAAGGCTGACAAGAACAAGATCCACGGTGAGCCACGGGGTGGGGGCGGGGGAGTCACAGGTGGCAACAGCGATTCAGACCCCCTGGATAGCACCGACTGTGCCAGTGAGAGCAGCAGCAGCGGGGGGAAGAGTCAAGAGCTCAACTACCTCCCTGACCTCACCTCATCCGCCTCCTCCTCCTCCTCTTCCTCCTCTTCTTCCTCCTCCTCCTCAGCCCCCTCCTCAGGAGCAACCCAGTCCCAGGCCCTCATGCCCGGCCCAGAGAAGAGGCACTGTCCTCAGCCGTCGACAGACACTAAGGTGGACAACAAGGTCACAGTCTCCATCTCGAAGCCAACTCAGAGGTGAGTCCCAGATGACTGAACGCTTTTATTCCTCTCATATCTGGCACTAATGCCAGGACATGACTTCAAGGTATCCCTGATATCTGAGCCTTTTTTTTTTTCACAGAGCACCGGATGCAAGCGACTCGTCCTCCAACTCCCTGCCTTCCCCGTTTAAGACCATGGCTCTTCCGATAACCTCTCCTAACAGTAAACTCAGCCTCACGAGTCCAAAAAGGGGCCAGAAAAGAGAAGAAGGCTGGAAAGAGGTGGTCAGAAGGTCAGTTTAGAAGAAGAGGTTTTATTTGACTCATTTTAAAGGTGTTTCTCTGCTTTATTTCCTGTATTGATTTATGTATTAACTTTAGAGATGGAAAATTTAAACCACTTCTCTAAGTTAGTCCAGTGCTTACGTGACATTTAAATTTGCCGCTTCTTTCCTAGATCAAAGAAGCTTTCTGTACCCGCCTCCGTTGTGTCCCGGATCATGGGTCGGGGGGGCTGTAACATCACGGCCATCCAGGATGTGACAGGAGCTCACATCGACGTGGACAAACAGAAGGACAAAAACGGAGAGAGGTTGATCACAATCAGGTAAAAATCAAGACAGAATACGTTCTTCTGGACTCTAGATGTCACTCCAGCTGTGACTTTAACCAACTAAGTTAATATTTTGCTTTATAACATCTTGGTGGTCTAGTATTAGATGCATTGGTTCCATTAATTTTGTCGAAATAAAACTCATAGAACTCATCAATGATTTATTCAATCCTCAAAACTTTGCTTCATATCATAGTTTAGCGAGCAGAGCCTCTGCTGCTGTTGTCTCCACTCCCCTGACCAATATTTTTATCTGTTAAATTTAGTATCCAAACTGTTTCCTTGCTTCTTCCTCGTTGGCCGTTTATTTACTCTAATCTCAAGTTTTGATCTTCAGAGGTTCTGTGAGATTTCTTGTCTGACTTCAGAACTTTCCTTAAGATCTGCTCGGGGCGCTGTCCTTTCTTAAGACGTCATCACACGGTAACTCCCCTCGGACAAACTGTATTGCATCCGTTTCTTAAGAATAAAATCTCTTCTGCAGTCTAAACATAGTATTACCCACATTTGCTATTATTTAACATTTCATTGCCAAACTAAAGTAGCCAAAAGTAGAAATCAATCATTCTCAGTCTTGAAGGAAAGCATTGCCTTCTAAGAAAGACTGAGCTCTGCCATTTAACAAGACAGAAAAGTCTCAGCTTATTTTTATTCTTTTATTAAGATCTGAGGGCAGGGAGGACAAATGGAACATAACCTGACTCCGCCAGATGGATTGGTTTTACAGATGGATGCATATCCATCTGTAAAACCTTCCGTTGAAGTCATTTTGGGAAGGGGTGAAAATACTGGTTAGCTGATTGGCCTATGTTGGTGATAGACGGGCCAAATAAACCAATCAGATCCACAAAGCATATGACGTACTAACAG